AAGAAAGGGGTGGCATAAGAAAGGTCTCATGTAAATATCTAGGATTAGTGCAAACCATGTGAGGTGGAGGAAGAATCAGGAGTTGAGGCCAGCCTCAGATACATGAGACTCTGTCTCAAAAAAATAAGCCAAAACATCAACAAAGTAATGCTTTTAGATGGTCTTTCCACTCAGCACTTGAGAGGCTGAGGAAGGAGGATTAAAAAAGGAGTTTGAGGCCAACCTGGGCTACAGAGGGAGAACCAAAATGAAATCAAAATACGAAAAAAAGAAGAAGAAGAAGAAGAAGAAGAAGAAGAAGAAGAAGAAGAAGAAAGAAAAGAAAAAGAAAGAAAAAACAAAGTTAAAACTAAAAAGAAAAAAGAAAAGAAAAGAAAAAGAAAGAAAAAACAAAGTTAAAACCGGAAAAATGAAAACAATCCTTTACAAGCCTAACTTTTCAGGGAGTATGTACTTAAACCTAGGAACAAATTCTACATTATTTATTCATGTGAAGACCCCTCACCTAATCAGCCAATAAAAACGTATATGATAGATGTGCTTGGTGGTACACGCCTTTGAGCTCAGCACTTGGGAGGCAGAGTCAGACAGATAAATCTCTGTGAAATGGAAGCCAGGCTGGTACATAGTTAGTTCCAGGCCAGCCAGAAATACATAGTGAGACGCTGTCTCAAACAACAACAAAAAATAAAAAAACCCAAAACTAAAAAAACCTTGTAGATTCATAGATCACTTTATTAGTCATGACTACCTGATTATTCCCAGGCTAGCTGCATGTGAACACACTATATCTTTGTTATACATATAGACTCTTAGCCACTGATTGGATTTTCTTTTATTTAAGCACACTTTTTATTCTTTGAGAATTTCATACATGTACAGAATTTATTTTGATCACATCCCCTGACTTCTGCCATCAAATGCCCCAGACTCCCGGCATTCATAAACATAGGCAACCTACCAGTGACCACACCCCCAAAGAAAAATGGCTCCTCCTCTTCTATCAGCCATCAACTGCCAATACTTCCTTAGCTATTGGTGAGGCCTCACGAGCCCCTCCCCAACCCATGATGGAATTTTGACTGGCTTAATCTTATGCAGGTCTTGTGCAGGTAACCAGAACTGCTATGGATTCATGAGTGTGGTAGCCATGTCATGTCCAGACATGACCAAAGTTGAGAGCAGCACAAATCCATGGATA